ACTACACTCTTTTCGTAAACATGCTTTTTCTTAACTACCAAATATTTAGTACCATACATTAACAGATCCTTATAGCTATTCTATAAAAATTTTCCCTTAAACTTAATAGGAATATACTATATGCAGAAGAGATATTTGAGGGAAGTACAGAGGATGGATAAGAGTTGGATTGACTTGCCAAATAGGATGTCAAGGGAATACATTAATAGGATTGATTAATTCCTTGTGTTTGCCTACACCAATAGGGCTGAAGGTTCAATGATTAGTTGTCCGTATAGGAAATGTGAGAATCGATACCATCTTGTATGAGAGGGTATGCGGGAGCATCTGATTTTGAATGGATTTTTAAAAAAGTACAAACATTAGATTAATCATGGAGAATCTTACGTATCTCTGCATGGTAATCGAGAGAATAAAATATTGGCTAAGTTAGACATTGAGGATGATATGGTTGGAATGATACAAGGGGCTATGGGAAATCCACATGTCGGTACAAGTGTTGAGGGTAATGAACCACAAGCGCCTGATCCCCATGCATCTAAACCCCAACTTGGTCCAAATGCAGAGACTGCAAAGCATTTCAAACTTCTTTAAGATGCACAAAGTCAATTGTATCTGGGTTGTCAGAAGTTCACATCTTTGTCATTCATTGTTCAACTTCTATATCTGAAGGTGCTTAATCAGTAAATAGACAAGTCTATTGACATGTTGCTTAAGTTATTGAATGAGGTGTTCCCGTTGGGTGTGAAACTCCTAGACTCATATTATAAAGCTCAAAAGGTCACAACAAATTTGGGCTTCATGTGTGAGACGTGGGATGCATGTCCCAATAGTTGCATGTTGTTTCTAAAAGATGACGCCAATCTTGATAAATGTGTCATATGCAACAGTTTTAGATGAAAATCAAATGGTAATAGTAGTTCAAATGGTCTTAACAAAAGTGGCAAACGAATAGCTGCAAAACAGATGAGGTATTTTTCTTTAAAGCCAAGGTTGCAAAGGTTATTTAGGTTATCCAAGATGACCAAGTTAATGAGATGGCATACAAAGGAACGAACTGATGACGGTGTCTTTAGGCATCCTGCTGACTCCCTTGCATGGAAAGATTTTGACTGTTAGAATATTGACTTTAGTAATGATTGTGAAGGTGTAAGGCTTGGCTTAGCATCTGACGGTTTTAACCCATTTAAGACAATGAACATAGTTCATAGCACTTCTCATTCCATACAACTTGCCGCCGTGGATGTGCATGAAGCAACCATTTCTAATTTTATCTATGCTTATTGACAGCCCGAAAGGGCCTAGTGACAAGATTGATGTGTATATGCAATCATTGATTGAGGAGTTAAAAGAATTATAGAATGACGGTGTCTTCACATTTGATGCATCAACAAATCAAATGTTTTAAATGCATGCAGCTTTACTGTGGACAATTAGTGATTTTCCTGCATATGAAAACTTGTCAGGATGGAGCACTAAAAACGAATATGCATGTCCTTGTTGCAATAAGGAAATTACATCGTCTTGGTTGAAGCACAGTAGGAAATAATCATACTTGGGTCATCGCAGATTTTTACCTAGTGGCCATAAATTCCGAAAGGATAAAGTATCATTTGATGGTAGTCGGGAATTCAGACTTAAACCAAAATCGTTATCTAGAACTGAGATGTTGCTACAATTAGAGTCTAAGGGTATTTTATCCCAATACAAGAAGGATGACCTTAATGAAAGGCATTGGAGACAAGTAAAGAAGAAAAAAGCTGGACATCATACCCATAGCTGGAAGAAAAAGAGTATCTCCTATGAACTGCCATATTGGAAGCACAATTAATAAGACACAACCTCGATGTGATGCATATAGAGAAGAATATTTATGATAATGTACTGTAGACAATATTAAGGGTTGTAGAAAAATCGAAGGATGGTGTTAATGCTCGGTGTGATTTACAAGAAATGAATATTAGAAAACCCCTACATTTGTAATTAAGAGGGTTAAATAAAGCTTATTTACCACCAGCACAATTCACGATGACCAAGGATGAGAAAGATTTGTTCTTGAAAGCGTTGAAGGAAGTTAGAGTTCCCGACAGGTATTCATCCAATATATAGCGCCGTGTAGTATTGGGGGTCTTAAGAGCCATGATAGTCATATTTTGATTAGCCACTGCCGCGACCACCATCAGAGGGGCCATTAGTGCCACCGCATCGACCACCATCAGTGGCACCACAGCAGCTATCATCTACTCAGCCTCCACGCCTACCATCCGTGCGTCCACCATTAGTGGCACCACAACAGCTATCATCCCAACTAGAGTTATCATCTTCATAGCCAACCACAGGTATATAAATTTGCTTTGATTTGTATGAAAATTATTTAATTATACATTTATTTATTCTCATTATATATAACTTGTTTATTCTCATTGTATCTTCCAGACCCTTCGACTTCTTCACAGCCCACCTCAAGTATAAGAATTTGATTTGTATTAACATTATTTAAATTTGCATTAATTTGTTTATTATCATTGTATATTGTTTATTCTTATTGTATCTTGCAAGTCATGTTAGTTCTTCATCAACCTCGACTAGGCGTAGTAGAGGATGTGCCAATGGTATTAAGGACTGGGGTACTAATACAAAGTTGGACATACAATTTGACAAAAATTACTGCCCAATAGGGGATAATGTGTCTAAGTTAACTACTCAACTTGATATTATTATGCGCAATGGTAACATTATTCCTCTTACTTTTCTTGACTGGATCACTATGCCTGACGATATTCTTGATGCTATCTGAAAGGATGTAAAGGTAAAAGTATATTTTTATCCAAAAATTTAAATTCTAAAATTGTGTTATTATTATTTAAACTTTTAAATTGTGTTTTGTAGAACAATTTGAATGTATGTCCAGAGGAGTATAAGCCAATCTGCATGAAAACATGCAACAACGTATGGAAGGGTCACAAGAATAAGATTAAGACCAAGCATTTCAAGCCTAGAAGTTCTTATCTTAATCTAAAGGATGACGTTCCTTTGCACATTGTGCCAAGCTAGTGGGAAGAACTTGCGGAGTATTGGCATACTTCCGATGCAGAGTTATAAAAATAAATTATATGTATGATATGTAAACATACAAATCATATTTATATACTTACCTTTGGTGAACCTGTTTTAAAAAATTGCAACTAGGAACGCTGAAAATCGGCGAGCTCACAACATACCTCATACCACAGGGCGTACTACTTTCACTCAGATCCAGCATGAGGTTTATATTTTTTATTTTTTGTTTTTGTTTATAGATAAGCATTATATATTTGCAAATTATTTAGATTCTAATTTTCATATTTCTAAAAAAATATAGATGACCAACAAAGGGGAGTCTACTAATAAGATGAATGTTTGGCTTATGACACGTAGAACAGATGACCCTGAGGTTATCCAGACCTTGGTAGTTTCCAAACACCTAACATTGTATTTAAATTTTATTTTTTATTTTTTGTGTGTCAACCATCTTAATTTGACATATACTTGTATGTCTTATTCAATACAAAATAAGTTTAATCGTCAACTTTCCATGCTACCTGAGGATTGCTGGACGTTAGAGGCTAAGAACGCCATTTTCCATGAGTTGATAGGTCATGACAGACATGGATATTGTCGCACTTATGGGAAAATTGTGCCTCGGAACGTGGTGTATAAAGATGCTGCTGGGCCATCACAGTTAACACCCCAACCATCGACTGTTGTTCAAATCACTCAACAGGTTTGTGTGGAGCTAAGGGATGAGTTGAGGGAGGAGCTCTCTACACATTTATAGCAGATGAATGATGAGATGATGGCCATTGTGTCACAAGGGGTAAGCGTGGATCCTAACAGACAGGTTCGATATAAATTAAATTTTTTGATAGTTAAATTTTCACACAGCATATATATAATAAAATTCGAATATGATTAACACATTATGGATGGACTGTCATAGGTTCCTGATGCATCGAGTGGCCACCGGGTATTTAAGGAATTTGTGGGAGATGAGACTCTATATACACCACCACCAGAAGATCAGGTATAAAATTTATTTTTGCATTTTAAGTTAAGAAAAACCATACATTAACTGTACACAACCCAAAAGGATAGAGGCTAATTACATAATTAGAAAGAAAGACAAAGGATTTTCCATTGTTAAGTTTCCCACTCGGACTGGCGCACCATTGCAGCCTGGTCCTTGTGTTCCTAACATACTCTATAGCAGCAAATGGGGCAACACACATCTTGTCCCAACATAGATTAATGCAGCTTAGAAGAACCAAGAGTACACAAATATGTAAATAGTGCATAACATTATTCACTACAACAAAAATAGTCTTTAGAGACGAAAAGTAATGACGAAATATTTTTTTGTCACAAAATATGTATCTTTTAATGACGAAAATCATATTTCCTCTCCAAATGTATCATTTTTAGAGACAAAAATAAAATTTCGTCACCAATCTAAATCATAATAAAAAAAATAGGTGACGAAATTATATTTCGTCATTATTTATATTTTTTTTGTCATCAAATATTTTCCCGCTAATATTTTCGGAGGGCGCCAAAATTAATAGATTTTTAGTGACGAAAAAATTTGTCACAAATTATAAAATTATTAATGACAAATATATTTTTGTCACCAATAATTTGGTGATATTTTAATATCATTTAGTGACAAAACTATTTTTGTGACCAATATTTTTATTTTTGGTGAAGAAATAATTTTGTCACCAAAATATAATTTGGTCACTAAATATTTTAGGGAGAAATAAAAAAGTTTTGTTACAATCGGTTCCTCTTCTCAATCACACACAATCATTTCTCGGTTCAAACCTATTTCTCTCACACACACACACACACACACACACACACAGAGACAGAACACAGGGCCCTCACAGCCGCTGCTCACATTGGATCAACACACCGCCGCTCTACCATTTCCGATAGCCCTCACCGCCGATAGCCCTCACCGCCGCCGCCGTTAGCCCCTCCTTTCCTCACCGCCGCTGCTGTGCAGATCGAAGAACACCGTTGTTAGTCTCTCTCTCTCTCTCTCTTTCTCTCTCTCTCTCTCAATGCTTAAAGGCTGTGGGTGATTTTGCTTGTTCATTACTTTTTAATTTACTCAAAATGGAAATTTTATGAGTGTTTTGATCAATTCGATGTAAAAAGAAAATGAAATTTTGCTTTATTTTATGTGTTAGTTTTGATTTGATCCCTTCTGGCATTAGGGTTTAGTTGGAATGTCATTAATTTTTTTGCAAATTTATTTACTTTAGAGGTTATCTCTACTGATATCTGAGGCTGTGGGTGATTTTGGTTGTTAATTACAATTTAATTTACAGGAAATTGGGGTTATGATTATGGGTGCTTCGATGGATTTGACGGAAAGACTTGTGTTTCAAGCCTCAAACTGTTTGTTAATCACTTGTGTTTCCCTTTTGTTTGATATATGGTCATTGAAAATTAAAGACTCTCTTGCTCTAGTACACAAACAGTTTGAGGCCGTCATGCTTGGATACAACTGCCATATGCACCCGTGAACCCACATCCTAATTCCTCATTTTTGCTCGGCAGGTGTCTTAATGATAATCAGTTAACTGGGAAAATCCCAAGGGAGCTCACTGGTATTTCCAGCTTGAAAGTTGTGTAAGTGAAAAACCTTAGTGTTTGAATTATTAGTACTAGATTCATTGTGACTTAGTGTCAAGACATCTGAATGATTTTGCAGAGATGTCTCAAACAACTTGTGTGGAACAATTCCTACTACAGGTCCATTTGAGCACATCCCATTAAACAAGTAAGGTTTCCTTGATTCATATAGTTCTGCAATTTATTTTTTCTTGAAGTTCGTTGAACTCTCTCCAACAGGGAGGGAAAAAAAGAAGGAAGAACTTTAACTCAAACTCAAACAAAAATAGGTGATTGCAATGTTTACCATGTAAGTCTACTATATTGGCTCTTTCCAGAGAATCTAGGAGATAAACCTCATGGGAACATTTTCTATGTTATTCAAGCCTCATTACCTATCCAAAAAAACAAAGGAAGAAGAAAGCTTTTCTAGATGAAAGTGAATTGTTAAGTTATATAGTGTGCCTTGTAGTGATAGAAAGTGTCATCTATGGCACATAGCTTCCTTGTTTTGCAGCCAAGTGAGCATAATACATATGCAGATATTGAAGCTGTGTTACCCACATTAACAGAAATGATTT